AATGTTAATGGCATTCTATGCTTGAGTGTGAGGCCCCCCATTTGTGAATTAGAGCACCCTTGTGGCACATGGGACATTTGCAATCAGGATAATTAGGATAATTGTCCAAGGTATCAGAAGCAACAGTTGACGAGGTAACAGCTGTTTTCAGGTCAAGGTTTGGGACTCTTGTGTGGGCACCCAAGGAAAATGGAAAGCTCTGTTTTTTTTTCTTTTAAAAGATTTAGGAATCTTTATTCCTAAAATTCTGAGATCATGTAAACACATGCTCCTAATTCTATGCAAAAGGTATCCAGAGTACTGTGTACACATTTATAACCTCTTGCTCTTTCTAAACAGAATTTGCTGAGATGGGTACCATTTTTAATGACCATATACAGGTATTCCTGAAGAAAATACATCTGGTTATAAGGTATAACAAAGTAACCACAACTTGTGTGTGTGTGTTTAGCAATTTCATCTTGACTGTTAATAAACCTTGCTGACTATCTAACCTCTCTCTGCAAACCTGAAACAGCACTCCTGAAAATTACTACTGTCCTTCTAAATTCTTAATTGAAAAAAAAAATCAGTCTTACAACCAAATCACACCAAAATTCAATTGAGGAAGAAGAAGGAAGTATTTGCGAAATTCTCTGTGACTTGGTGACCAGTCAACTAATCTAGATTATCAGGGAAACATTCTCATTAAAGCTCTATGCCTATCTCTTCCTGCAATTTCTATTGTGCTGCATTTATACATAACAAGGGTGGGATAAATGTAACCATTACCAGCTGCCCATAAGTTAGTGCATAAAGATAACTGTGTATAGATAAAGCTCTCCATACACACATTTGAGTGTCATCTTTTCAAGGTCTCCCCATCCTTTCAGAATTGTACTATTCAAGTTTGCAGAATGGCCTTTTAAATCTACATGCTCTATTCCAGTGGGTGGATTTAATCAAAACACTGCAATGATAGCTAATGGGCATACCCTGTTCTGAGGTTCTGGCAAATACTTTCTCCATACCAAAGAGTCCCATTTCAGCAGTTAGTTGCAGTTTGGATTTGTCTAGTTTCACTCAATCTGTACCTTTACTGGCTGCTTAAAGGACACAGAAATTCAAGAGCATGAGTTATGGTTCATTACGGTTTCTTGTGTGATGCACAAGAGGTTGTAATGCACATGTACAACCTAGCAATGTTTAGGCAGGCCCCAGAATTGACCTAAATAAGTTGGTTAAACTATTTAGGTAAGTGGAAAAGAGGAAGTAAACCCTTTACAGAGATCACTGTGGCGTTCTCATAGAATAGAAATGTGGTGAGCTCGTTTTGGCATCCACATTATTTTGAATTATCTATTTGCCAGCTTAAAACTAATAATATGGCCCAAGGACAAATATATTACAATGTGTCCATTTAAAAAGCATTCACAGCTTAGCTAAACATACTTCAAATCACCTTCCTTATTTATTTTTATTCATTATATATTGAATATATGTGTAGGGATGATTTTTTTCTTCCAGAGAATTAAGCAAGTCCTGTAAATTCCCACTAAATCCCAATATTTAACCATACTTCTCCAGTCTCACATTGCCCCTTTTTTGGTAACCAAAGGATTATACTACCTTATGGTATTTTCATTGGCTGGGTTCACATGCCACAAGAAGCCATGGTGATTTCTTCCCTTTGTTGGTCCGCTGTGTTGTTCAGACACACTCATGGCATTTCTGCATGGTACCTTTAGCTTTCTAAAGCCATGGGGGAAAATCAATAAATAAATTCTAAGGTTTCAGTGATTCACTGCAGCTTCTTTAGTTGTCTGAGACAGGATTTCCGTTTTGCCAAAGCTGGCATGGAAATGCTATTGAGTCCTGTGGAAAGATTGGCCACAGAATTGGCTATTCAAACATACTTTAAAAAATCCTTTGTGGGATGGCTAGGAAACGTTGAAGGGATACAGATATACTCAGAGTGGGAAGAGGCAAACCCTGCCTCAAAAGAGCTGGAGGATGAATCAGGGAGCATGGAAACTGGATTGCCCATGGGAACACATGATTGGCTGGCTACTAACTTTGGATAAACATCTACAGGTTGTGGAAGCTGCTTGGGGTTGCTTGCTGTGCCATGTGAACCCAGGTGTGGTCTCCTAGAAGGGTGTATTCGATTTGAAAAACTGGTTTAAGTTTGAAGTATATTACCGTACAGAAATCTTTGAAGCAGGGTGGGCCCCTCTAGATATTTGGATAAAATAAAATTTAACAACTTACTGGCCCAGTTCAGCTATAGCAGGACAACATTGTTTCTTGCTATGTGAACCAATCTGCTACAGGTCACAGGTTTCTGTGTTGCTTTCACCTCTCTCATCCTCCTGCACACCATGAGAAGAGCAGATGTTTTGCTTCTGATTTTCAACAAACAACAGCTCCCTGTGACATTCAAACTGTGGTTTGTTTGAGTAATGGCTAGAATAAACTAAGATCAGTCAACGGTTTTAAATCCTGGTTTGTTCTGAAGCTGTAGATAAACTAAAAAGTAACTTGAATTACTGTGACTTGAGTATGTCACAGGGAAATGCCAGTAGTTTAAAACCAGCAGCAGATACTTCTGATCTTCTCCTCTGGTGCACAAAAGAGAAGAAAGAGTGTCTGAGGCTTACTGTTACTCATTCATATAGGGGAAACCATATGGTCATCTTACATCTGACCTGGACCACCATTGTGGTTTCTTCCTGACTTATATGTTTGCCTCAAGTAATTTAATTGTCATCAATATTTATTTTATGCCTTTCTAAAACACTCAAGGTGGTTTGCAAGCAATACAGTTAAATAATATGGATGATAAAACAAATATATTTTTACTAGAGGACAACTTGTTTGCTTTTGCTCCCATTCTGCTTCCAGAAATGCACATATTTTCTACACATGAGGTTAGGAAGTCATGGAAGTTTCTGGAACAGTGGAGAAAGTAGCAGCAAGAACACTAAGGTAACATGTCAGCCAACTGGCTGTGACAGAAAATATTTTGATTTTGTGGATCTTTCCTGAATTTGGCCCATTTCAAGATCCTTTAGCTGAGTACAGTTACCTTAGCATCTCACCAGCACAGCTGTTAACAATCCAATTTCTATAAAATGATTTTAAATGAAGTTTTAAATGTCCAGTGAGTATATTCTATAAGCACATAATGGGGGGTGTTTACCCAACATCATTTCCCCCCTTTCACTTAATATCTACTTGTGGGTATTTTATGATATTGACTTGGAGCCTCAGATGCATTGCCTTAAGAAGTTCAGAGAATGCAAGTTCCCCATACTGTCCTCCCACCTTCACCCTCTCCAAAGTCCATCCCAGATGTTGGGTGGCATTCTTCTGAGCAATGTGGAATGTGTCATGGGGGCTAAATGCAGAAAGGGAAGTGCCTAACATTGGGCAGATCCTGCCAATGCTGAACAATTATCCCCTTTCCCAGCAACCCCTCTGTGCCTTACCCATGCTGCTCAGGGTCTTTGTTCTGGCCTTAGAAAGGTTTTTTGGGATGCAGAAGGCTGTTGGGGTGATTTCCTCTTAAGTTAACATAACTTGTGATTCCAGCCACTCCATTTTGAAATAGCACGATGACAGATGATAGTAGCTGATAAGAACTAAAAATGGTAACTCTGGGACTACCATTCCTACATGCTGTCAGTGCATGTATTAACCTCAATACCTTGTTTCCAAATGGCACTTCTTACTTGCAATTCATACCATTCCAGCCCTGCCCAGGCTCCTTATGAGCCTGCAATGCTGCTCCTTAATTGTTTCCAATGACCGAAAATATATGTGTGCATGGATATGCTGTCTCCACTGTAATGAATGAGAAATGAGGAAGGATCCCCATTCATCAAGAGCCCCATGCGCGCCCATGAAACTCTGGATCAGGACATGGCTCTGTTTCCCATTATAAATCACTATAGCTTGATAAAAGTATTGAATTGATCATCCATTTAGCCATAAGGAGCAGTTCTTCAGTGTCCTTCTGGTCCTGCCTACCCCTCTACCTTGTGATACAAGTTTTTTTTAAAAAAATATATAAAATATTATACATGGATCCTTCTCTACCAGGAAGTTGCCCTTATTCTTCCTTCTATGTTACCGCTCAGGTCTATACCTATTCGCTTCCACCTCAGGTGGTCCCAGACCATGTACTGGGCTCCAGATTAGCCTTGTTTAAATAAAGTACTGTGGCTAGGTAAGCACTGAAGAGCTGTACAAAAATAAAAATGGGTGTCATTTTCAGTCTGAATAAGTGATATTGCTAAGTGCTTCCATTTTTCTATCCAACCTACAATAACCTAGATTAAGAGACAAACAGTAACAATGCACTTCTTTTTCTTCATATTGTTTTAAGGATTAGCGCTCAGGGAGGGATTCTGTCTCTTGCTGTTTAAAATGTGAAATTAATTTGAATAGTCTAGTAAAGCAAGCATTATACAATGCTTCAAAATTTTAAAATTCAGGGATAAAAGTTTATATCCAAAAGTGATGGGCATATGAAATTGTGCTTTCAGACAAGTAGAGTTACCATAATAGTTCAATTCACCTTTAGATTCTGGGCAAATTTGTATAGTATTCTATCTATAGCTATATATCTATATATTCATGTATACATATATATATATGTCTGTGTGTGTGTGTGTGCAGTTTCTCATTTACAGTTCCTGCAAAAATCTAAAACAATGTGCTTCACTTTGTATATAGCAAAGGCACCTGTGTTTATTCTCCCTTTTGGACAAAAGGTGATATTAAGATCCAGGTTTCCTGACAAAGACAGCCGTTTCTGTTCCCCCTTGTTTCTTCCATCTTTAATGTCCAGAAACAAGACAAGAAGGGCACACTTGACTCTTTGCTTACACTGGAAGAGGTCGCTCTGTGGGGTGTTCGGAGCTTTATGATGGAATGAGGGAAACCAAGCAGAACCGTGAAGCAGAGGGACTGTAACGAAAAGGCTATTCTGGTGTGAGGACGGAGCAGGAGTCTTTTCAGCTCCACAAGCAGATGTTGCTACTGGACTGACACGTGGAGCCTGTTCCTGCTGGGGAAAGGTAAAGTTTACCATTGGGACAAACACAGAGCTCATAGATAGTCTGTCGAGGAGCTGAGGAGCTTGCTGAGGGAGAGGAGGAGGAAGAAAAGGAACCCAGCGGGAGATTCCCTAGTCGGATTGAGTCTGCGTTTAAAAATATCTGAAGAAAATGAAAAAGAGAAAAGGTATGGTCATTTCTTATATTGTTATTGGACTTTATTTTGATGAGCACAAAGATAATTACATAAAATAGGCACCTCTTCCTGTAACAGGAGTAGAACTGATACATGCCTGTCAATTAGTCGCTGTCACACTGTAGTTCCCATGATGTCCAACCTCTCAAACACATGAATAGAAGCGTTTAAAGCTTTTCTGTGCCCGGTGCACCTCCTAAGTACTCACAGACCCTTGCAAATAATGGAAAGTGGTGGAGCATTGGGAAGGATCCTCCCAGTGTCAGAAGGGTGCTGCCTACTGGCAACCTTCCCGGCGCCAATGTACTTCAAATGATGCCATAAATGGGAACATGCCAGAACCCGGAAGCATCTGAACTGGCTGCTCCTAAAATGAATTCCTCCAAGAGAAGCTGCAATGGTGAGGAGAATTGCATTGCTTTGTTATTGCTAGAATAGAAATCCCCAAGGTGCTTACTCCTCACAACACATAATGAGGTTGTCATCACTAGGGCCCTGGGCCCTGGAAGCCTTTCAGGCCCTTCTCAAAATGTGCAGCCGTCAGATCAGTTAAAATGGTGTGTGGAGGCAGTCACCTCCTGGAGGACCTGGTCTTGCTTTATCCTTAGCAGTTCCTAAAACAAATCCATGACCAGTTTTACAGCTGCTATGTTTTCAGAAAAGTGATAGCTACGCAATCTTTCCTTTCTCTTCCAATCCTTATCATCTCCTTTGTGGCCAGAACTCTGATGCCTTTGCACTAAGTCGCAAAACTGACATTATTTTAAATATTTCGCAGCTACTGCTCCACCACCTTTATTTTTACATTAGGTACTGGATCCTGGTATTGGGATCCTAGCATGGGGACAGAAAGGGCCTGTTATGATCCAGACTGGGCCCCTTTAAATATACCCTTCCAAACAAGCATTGAGATATTCTATTGGATTCCAGTGGCGTGACATTTCCCTCAAATGCCCTGCCTTCCTCACAACAGGGCTGCACAGTTTTTGTTTAATCCATTCCATCTCCATTTCACAGATTATCAACCATCTTTTTTTTCATCATCCACTCCACGTGGAATTGGATTGTTTCCCCATTTAGAAAAGTATACTACAGAGTCTACTGCAATGCACATAACTGTCTCTGCCATGTAGCTTTTTGCATATTTTTCTCAACTCAGCGTACAAGCAATAATCAGAAAAGAGTGCTAGCCAGCAGAGGCTGAAGAGAGATCAGAGACAGATAAAATGTAGATGCTGTTATTTAAAATGGGATCTATATTAGCATATTTCCTGAGACTTTCATATTTTCATGTGACTGCCTTTTCACACAATTTCAGAAAGTTGAAAGGAAGGAAGGTTGGTTGGCTTGCAAGTCCATGGAATCTGGTTTGGAATTGATGAATTATGAATTAGCAGTTGTCAGCCTACCCATAATGTCTGACCTCGAGACAGTATTCCACTGCAGAATCCCTGGGTCAAATTGCTAGAAATCGGAAGTCATTTGCATTCATTCTGGATTTCTGCTAACACACACAAATGGTGTGTTATTGCTCTGCCAGGTTTATGGCAAGATGGTCGGGCCATTTACATCAGAGTAAGACCTTCCTGCAGTTCACTGGGGAGTACCCAGGGGCCTTCTCATCTACCAGTCTCAAGGGACGAGGCTACTGCATGGGTCAAAGTATATGTAACTCTGACGATGTAGCTCAGCCCCATGCTTGGGATTCCTCAGGTGCATTTCTGTATAAAAGGCAGACACTGCTCTGTTTTTCAGGATGAGGACTGGTGGGTGGGTGTGTCTTAAAATACTTTTGCTAGTGCCATTTTCCTGTTGACAATTGCACCTTCAGAGTAGCCATTTGCCTCCAAAGCTGTTAGTTTTTGTAAATAACACTGCCATTTCATAATGTATTTGTGGTCAATTTAATCAGTAATAAATATGAGAGCTGCTGCCAAGGAACACACCCATGGGGACTGATGCAAGCAAGTCCGTAGAATTCAATGGGATGCCATGGCAGAGTAACGGCTGGAAAGGAAGCCTTTCTTTGCACTATCCAAGCCGTTACTCTGATGCAAGACATGCTTGGGCTGATGGTTAAATATTGATAGAAAGCTGGAGGCAGGGGACATGGTGCATAAACACTTCAAGGTTGGTGAAGTGTTTGAAAATGGAAAGCACCGCACAACACTCTTTGGCCATACTGATTATCTGTGGTCGATTTATCAATTCTATTTAGGAAAGAAAAAACAGCAAATGTTTTTTTCATCACTCAGGTAGCAATGATATTTGCACATTACTGTGCACTGCTATACTTAAATTTGGAAAGTGAGCTAAAGTGAAGATGCTATTCTTCATATTTGTTTTCATTCATTCCAATATTCCCAAATCATTACTATCATTTAGGAGAGGCTGTGGTAGATCTGTTATTGATAAGAATTTAAGCCACTGGAAAGTGGACAGTTTGATAGTTAGGCAGGATTGTAGAATGTAAAAAACCTTCTGGTGAAATAAGGTCTATTTCACATAGAGATTAGAAGAGTATTGTTCTGAGGTGGCTGAGAAGAGAACATGGGTAAGAAATTTGGGGAGGAATGTATTTCACCCCACAAATGATTAAAGTAGATCATAGTTTTATGGTGGAATGACTAAATGACAGAAAAATGGCTGCCACAGAATGGGAGGGGTGGAGAGGTGGAGATCACTTTTGCTGTTCCTCTCCATCTCCAGTGGATGCTTGTCAAGCTCTCTTTTCAGAGGCTTGCAAGAATCAAGGCTGCAATTCATAGGGCTACATTGTAAGTGTCACCATTTCTTACTAGATAAATAGGTTGCTATCTAGTTAATAATTTCCATTTATTTATTTATTACTATCAGAGCTGGAAGTGTAAATTCTAATTTCTAAGCATGTGAAGTTATACTGAAGGTTGTTTCTGCTGAGATGGGTGGAATAAGCTAGGAAGGGATGGTGAGGAACATTGAGGAGTGTGGGATATTATGGTATTGGGAAGCAGAGGTTCAACGGAAGGGATGACCCATTGATTGTCTGTATATACTCCTGTTTCCCCTATAAGGAATCTAAGGCAACGTAAATCATCGTACTCTTCATTTTACTCTCACAACAACCCAATGAACTTCATGCCTAAATGGAAACTAGAACCAGGATATCCCAAATTACACTGCAACATTTTAACTACTGGATATCTATGCACTATCCCTTTTTCATACCCCACTTCCAGCCTCAGCCGTACTGATGTCTTAACTCCAATCCCTTTTAGTTTGAAGGTTTTGTGGGTGAATGCCAGGTGGGTTCATGGAAAGTTTAACCATCTCTGACTTGACTCAAGAAGAATATATGCTAATGTTATTTGCATAACTCAAACTTGGTTGGACAAAGGAATAGGTTTTAATCTTTCTTGGAATTGACCATCCAAGTATCAGACACACCAAACCTGTTCTGCTTCTGTTACAAGCAGAATAGACTGCTGTAATGTACTCAAATACTCTCCCTTTCAGAATGTTTGGAGGCTTCCAGTACTGCAGCTACTTGGATTCTTGTTGGGGCTAAGCGTTTGGACAAATTTACACCAATTCCATACCAACAATACCGGTTGACTATTTGTTTCTGAGTTGATTTAAGGTATGACTTTGACCTTTCCATTAACCCTTCAATAGTTTGGGACAGGTGACTTGAAGAACTACCTGCACCCACATGAACCTTCCCAGGCAGTAAGCTTGAGCTAGACTGGTGGTCACAAAAGTCAGTAATTTTTCAATGATAGCTCCCTATTTGTGGTACTTCCTTCCCTGGGAGGTAATTTTGGCCCTCTTTCTGTTTTCTTGTAGAAAGGACTAAAACATTTTTAAAAATTTCAGTCCCCCTTCAGTTACAGATAGCAAGCTGGATTCTACTTGTTCGCAAATAAACATGCACTGGATTGTGCTGTAAGTGTCTGAAGAGAGCAAACAGCTGGAAGTGCTTTTAAATGCAGAGATTTTTGACTGCACTTTGCTGCAGTAATGAGTTGTGTCTGACACCTAGATAATTTCTGTGTGTGCCCTGGTGCTCTGATCATGCTTACCTCCCCTTCTGTGGATTGCAAGTGTAGCTCCTTTCTACAGGTGGCTTTCAAGTCCCCTGCAGCTGCACTCACTTGTATTCCCTTTGGAGCCTCCATTATCAAAGATCTTGTTGGAGATTCAAGCCTGAAAGTGTAAAGTGAACAAACAAAGAAAAACAACAATAATAGGAGAAAATATATTTAAAAGATGATGTCCAATACACATGGCCCAATGGCTTAGGTAAAATAGTTTTCTCAAGACAATGGAAAAATAAAACTTCCACCAACTTCCCTGTGTTTTGTGAAATTCACTTTCAAGATCTTTTTTTTAAAGCCCTGACTTCTTACAATATTGATACTTCATTCAAAATTCTTTTAGATCTCAGCTCAGACCTTTACAGAATACACTGTCTTTGTTTTTGAAACAAAGCCTATTTTACTTCTATTTATTTTGCAATTCATGAAGTTTAAGTGAGTAGCTGAGTTACTAGACGGAACAAAAATATTCCATTTAAAGGGGATTGCTGTCTCAAGTTTGACCCTGGTTTTAAGATGACCTTATGGTTTGGTAACTATTGTGTCTGCTGGTAAGTCTCCATGTCTGCGTATGGAGACGACTGTGAGTTGTGCCAGCACATACCTACAAGCGGTTCTGGGAGATAGAACTAGAATGCTTAAAATCATTGTGAGTCTGTCACATGGTTCTCATTCTTTGTAGAAACGGTGGCTCACTGTCAGCTTAACGGAAGGCTTTCATGCCAGTAGGGTCATAAATATGATGCTCTGTAAAAGGCATCATGTGAAGTATCAGCAGTATGTATGGTCTTTTTCTCTCTTATACAAATACGTGTACCATGATCAATCGATTCAACAGTCTCGTGATGGCTTAACTGAGATTCAGGACTTCTCTACATGTGGCATTCAACCCAGTACTTCAGGGAAGTGTCTTTTTCTATTTTGTTTGCAGGAGAAACATAGAAAACAGAGCGAGTCAGAAGGGACCTCCCAGGCCATCTAGTCTGACCTCCGGCACCAGTCGGCTCCACTCACGACATGCCCACCATGTGGACGTCCAGCCTATCCTTGAACACCCGCACCGATGGGGCCTCAATGACCTCTTGTGGAAGCCCATTCCACATCCTCGGGGTCCTAACTGTCAGGAAGTGCTTCCTGGCATCCAAATGGAACCTTGGCTCCCTGAGCTTTGCTCCATTGGAGTGTGTCCTGCCTTCCTCTGCAGGGGAGAACAGGTCTCTACCCATCTCCATGTGACATCCCCTCACATACCTGTATGTCGCCAACATATCCCCTCTGAGTCTCCTCTTCTCCAGGCTGAAGAGACCCAGTTCCCTCAGTCTCGCCTCATATGGCATCCCCTGCAAACCGGCCACCAACCTTGTGGCCCTACGCTGCACTGACTCCAACCTGGCTATATCCTTTCTGTAATGAGGGGCCCAAAACTGAACACAATACTCCAATTGCGGGCGCACTAGAGTCGTGTAGAGTGGTAGTAATACCTCTCTTGATCTAGAAGCCACACTTCTGGCTATGCAACCAAGGGTGGCGTTCACCCTCTTGACCACTGCATCACACTGCTGACTCATGGTTAGCCTGCAGTCAACCAGCACCCCGAGGTCCCTTTCACAAGAGCTGCTCTCCAGCCACTTATCACCTAACCTGTACTTATGACAGCTATTCCTATGCCCCAAGTGCAAGACCTTGCACTTATCCACATTGAATGCCATCCTGTTATCTCCTGCCCACTTCCATAGTCTGTCCAGATCCTTTTGGATCTGGAGTACCTGCTCCTCAGTTGTGGCCACTGCTCCAGTTTTAGTATCGTCTGTGAATTTGATCAGCAGACTGTTCACCCCTTCTTCCATGTCATTAATGACAAGATTAAACAGGATCGGCCCCCGGACAGAGCCCTGGGGGACCCCGCTTGTCACTTGCCGCCATCCCGATGATTCACCGCTAATGTTTACCTTCTGCTTTCGGTCAGTCAACCATGCCCTAATCCACCAGACAGTGCTTTGGTGTATCTCAAAACTCCTCAGTTTCTCCACCAGGATATCATGGGGCACTTTGTCAAAGGCCTTGCTGAAATCCAGGTATACCACATCCACTGCATCCCCTCCATCTAGCCATCTCGAAACCTTGTGATAGAGTTCCACAAGGTTTGTCTGGCAGGATCTGTTTTTGCGGAAGCCGTGTTGTGTGGCTGCCAGCCTCCCTTCCCTATCTAGCATCACTAGATCTCTCTCTGTTATGAGCCTTTCCATTGTTTTTCCTACAATGGACGTAAGGCTAACCGATCTATAATTCCCCATGTCCTTTCTACTACCCTTTTTGAAAATTGGGACCACTGATGCCACCCTCCAGTCCTCTGGAACTTCACCCGTTCTCCACAAGGCCTCAAAAATGGAGGCCAGCGGGTGTGAGAGAACCCCTGCCAACTCTAAGTACTCTCGGGTATAACCCGTCAGGGCCTGGTGCCTTTGTAATGTCCAATGCCCTGAGGAGCCCCTCGACTACAAGGGGGGGTGACTCTAATCTGTGCCCCTAAGTCCCCAGCCTCATCTAATCTCCTATGCGGATATCCACCGTCCTGCTTTGTGGAGAACACAGAGGCAAAATAGTCATTTAGCGTCTGTGCCTGTTCCCTCATATCAGTCACTGGATCTCCTTCCTCCTTATTTAGTGGTCCCAAAGAGAGCATCACTTACACGTGCTTCTTTTCTTAGGTTTTGCTTTCTTTGCCTTCCTCCATGTCAGCCTCCCCCAACTTTGTGCCTTCCAGACATGTTTGGACTGCAAAATCTAGAATTACTAGTCAATGGCCCTTTTGGATGGGAGTTCCGGGAGTTGCAGTCCAAAAGCCTCTGAAGGCCACCAGGTTGCAGAAGGCTATTCTGTGCTGTAAGATGCAGCCACAAGGTGGTGCTGCGGCATAGTGCAATTGCTAGAGTATGTAGCCTTTAACATGTATTGGCTCATTATCCTTACTAATCACACCGTTGAAAATGGGGTTGGGCTCTTGAGGAGAAGGGCATTGTGCAAAGGGTGCTCCAACTTCTGTGAGTGAAGGATCACAAATACACAATGAAGCCCTCCTGAAGAGAAGTCCTGATTGGCATTCATATCACATATTCTGCATGACCGTTGCTTTTCTTCTATGGTGCCTAGAACCTGGAATTTGTTGTTTATGTATGACTTTTGTATTCCATGCTGTCCTTTAATGAACTCTAAGGAGTAGCTTACATATGGTACCAATGTGGTTTTCCATCCTGGGAGCTGGTAGCTTACAGAGGTAGACCTGCTCACGGTCAGTAGTGGATTATGGATGGCATCTCCAGATAGCTCATCCTGCTGATGAAAAAGTTGGGGGAGCCTCCAGAGCATATTTTGGGAGGCCATGGATGGCTGCATGGGGAGGAGAAGAGGATAAATTCTCATCACATGAGCAGAAATCCACTCGAAATATTAGATTCTGCCCTGTGCCTCAAGAGATTCTTCCAAGCTGATTCATGTCAGCCTTACAGTTCTCTTCCACTGGTTTCAGCAAGATGAAAGGGGGACTTGGAAAAAAGCAAGAAAGCAAACAACACAGCCTCAGGAAGGAGGATAAAGAGCAGAAATGGTGCTCCCCCTTCTTCTTCCTGCTCAGCTTATGCCTTTCCAGAAAATGATTGCAGCATCGTCTTCTAGAATAACCTCATTTTAAAAAATAATTAGGTATATTTTAAATTGCACCAAACACCTGCTTTGAGCACTGTCAGATTCAGCTCCCCCTGCCCCAGAAAACATTTGCCATCGTGAAGGTATTTATTTCACTGTGACCAACCCTTTGATTCCTACCATAACAATGTTTCTTTCATTGCAACTTTCCCACATCTGTTTATTTCTCCTCCTTCCTAGTCTTAGGCAATAGGCAGCTATGCTACCATATGACAAAATGGGCCACGTTTTCTGAACACCTCTTAATAATAATAATGATGATGATGATGATGATGATGATGATGATGATGATGTGTATGAAATGTACAATGGGTCTGTTTAAAATAATCATATCCCTGATTTTACAGACAAGAAAGGTAATTTACTAAGCAAATGGGTTTTATTTGAGATTCAGATCTGTCATCCCTAGGCTGAAAGCATGGGCACAATTCAGTCAAAGTTAAGGACATTTAAGTTCCACTGATTCCAGTGAAAGAAATTTAAGAATTTGCTCAATTTTCCCTGAAAGTACTGGATCATGCTCTCTCTGAGTCTGTCTGTCTGTCTGTCTGTCTCCCTCTCCCTCTCCCTCTCTCTTTCTCTGAATCACAATCCTAAATTTTCTAGAACAGTAATTTCTAGTAACCAGAAACACCAGACAGCTCACATTATCACATTGTCATACTGCCCATATTATTGTAGTAACACTAGACCTAATATGGCAGTAGAAATATTCATAACTGGGAAAATCCACAATTAGGCTGTCCTTCTTTAAGGACCAGGAGGTACAGCAGCATCTTTAAGGAGATACAGTCATTTGCAATTTGCTAATCATCTTTTGCTCACCTTTCTAGGTCTCTCTGAAATGTGCATGAGTGGCTCTAGGCATGCATTAAAGCACAGATCAAACAAGCCTAAGATCAATTCCAGTAATGTCCTGTTTTGTGATTTTTTTTAATGATTTTAAATGGGAAGTGATTTTTTAAAAAAAATGTCCACAGGGATGGAAGTGGGAGCTGCCTACAAAATGAATGGAAAACCCAACAATAAGAACAACATGTGTGCTAATGCAAATTCCAGAAATAATGCTGTTCATTGTTTCTATTGCATTTTGGAAGGGGCAGTGACACAGAGCCAGGAGTTGATGGCAATGTAGTTTATTTTTATTTGCAGGATACCCATGAAAGGTTTTCTTTGCATCACACACTTCTTTTAAACTAGAATAGTGCACTTTGTAAGAAAACATAACAGTACAAAGTCAATATGCTAAAGATACAGATTCGATTACAAAAACCTACCTGATAAGAATATAATGGGAAGCCAGTCTGCTAAAATCTGGTATAAAATATGAGGAGGTAACAGGAATAAAACAAGACTGAAAACCGGCCACATGCAATAGGGACTAAGGCACTAAGTGCTGCAGTTTAG